CCAAAATGAAGGTAGATTTATGCCCAAAGCTGTTTATCACATCAGTAGGGCACCAGGGAAATAGAAATTACTTTAGAAATAACCTTAATTTAATATTCAAAACATAGGAAGTATATCTACATAACAAATTCAACCATTGAAAACTGTATTTAGAAGCCAGGCGCAGTGACTCACGCCTATAGTCCTCACACATTGGGAGGCCAAGGTGGGAGGATTCCTTGAGGCCATGAGTTTGAGACCAGCCTGCACAAGAGTGAGACACTGTCTCTACAAAAAATAGAAAAATTAGCTGGGCATGGTGGTGTGTGCCTATAGTCCCAGTTACTCAGGAGGCTGAGGCAGGAGGATTGCTTGAGCTCCGGAGTTCGAGGTTGCTGTGAGCTATGATGAGACCACTGTACTCCAGCCTGGGCACCAGAGTGAGACTCCGTCTCAAAAAACAAAATAAAACCAAAAATGTATTTTTATAAACATACTTAATAACACAGATAATGCTTATCATACAGCCATGATGGAAACAGATTCAAAGGACAAAGTGTAAACATGAAATGATCTCAACTACATAAAAGAGAAATAAATAAGGATCACTGGAAAGAAAGCACCAAAATGCTAAAGATGGGTGTGCATTGGGTTGGCAGGGTTCAGCTAGTTTTAAAATTTCTCTTCTTTGTATTGTTCTGTATTAATTCCCCCAGTTTTTCAAGTTTCCTACGTTCAGGAAAAACACATTACACAGAGAAAGCCTTACCTGAAACATGGCAATGTGCAACTGAACCCGCTGCAGGCTTGTCTTACAAGAAGAAATGCTGGTTTCTAGCCTTCGCACCAAGTCGTGCTTCTTCCAGGCAGTGTCATAAGAACTCGCCAACACTGTTGCCCTGTTCATGACCAACTGGGAGAACTTCCCGACCTGGATGTTGTGCTCCACTGCTTTCTTACACAGGTCATCGACAGAAACTTTGCTTTCGGCACCAAAGTCCTTTGCCTCCACTTGAGCAATGATGTCTACCCCCAGAGCGCTGATAAAGCTGCACAGCGTGAGTCCGAGGGCTTGGTTTGGTAGTCCTATCAAGAGCTGCCTCACGAAATCAGCTGTGAATGCCTTGATGGGTTTGGCCATTTGGTCCTCACTGAAACAGGAGTTTCTAAAAAGGGTTTTCACATTGACAATTTGTACAGGCCCATTCACAGAATTCTGATCTTCAAGTGAACTTGATCCTACAAAAAAGAAAATTTCCTTAAAGTATTTCATACAAAAATAATGTGCTGTTTAAAGTACTTAAGATTTATGAATGTATAATTAAATTAAGCCTGTTCTACCTTGGCCCGTTCCATAGCCCTACATAAATAAACCCACCATGTTTAAAGGTAGATTACCTGACAGTGTTTTAGAAAAGGTACCACAGAGCCTGAAGAACTCCTTAATTGTCTGTAGTCTTTTTAGAAAGAAAATCTCTTCCAGCACCTGTCGGTGATTATCATCATCAAAAAAATTAACTTGGGTGCTCCTGGCTTCCCTTATGATGTCAATCTTACGCCAAGCTATAGGAATTTCCATTTTGTTTAACTATGTAAATGAAAGAAAAGAAAGTTCATTTCTCTACTTTTCACACACCAAACAACTACTTTACTGCACTTGCATTATTCTTAAAATCAAGTCAATATTTACCTTTTCAACTAATAAGCCAAAAGCAGTTTCAACTTGGGCAAACATGCCATCAAATGCTACCAAAAGCATCTGGCCAGCTGACATTTTTGGTGTTTCATCAACTGAACCATTTCTTGGTTGGATTAATTCACCATATTGAGCATGCAGCATTCTATGGGAAAATAAAAGGGAGTTAAAACCCTCACTGAAGAGTAACGTATTTTGGGTCACTAAGTCTCACAACTAGTATGCAAAGTCTAGAAAATGCCAAAGTCTAGTCTTTTGGCATTAAGGAAGGAGTGTTATGATGAAATATAATATGAAGTTACTGGTTCTAATTCAGTATTAGCATGTGATTAAGTTTTATGCAAACTTGAATTATAGCAATTTAAAAATTACTTCATTAAATATTAGTCTCACTTTACACACAGAATATGAAATAAGATAAACCCCATACTGAAAAATGTCAGGAAACACACAATTCTAAAGCTGGTGGACCTAGCAAATTATAAGCTATGTTCGCACTACTGCCGCATAGCAGAGCCAACTACAGACAGTAAACTGAAATATCTGCTATTTTTGGCATGCTCAGTTATGGTTTATGCACATTTTGAACATAAGGACTTCAGAAATTCACTCCTCACATTAACATTAACGTAAGACTTATATAGTGCTTATGTATCCAGGCACTATTTCTAAACATTTTATATCAAAAGCAAAAATACAATTCCCAGTACTCATAATTACTATCAGTAAAACTAAGGTTAACTGGGATTTCAACTTTATCATACACACATACAGAAATCATTCCAAATGACCGGAACTATTAAGAGTTTTTAAGACAATTAAAAATGTTAAGCTACCAGAGAAATGTCTAATGAAAAAAAAGCTGTAAAAATGATATGAAATTTTTTTTCAGATTAGCAAAAAAGTTTCTCTGAAACAAGGCACAGATGGCTGCCATAGAACCAGGCACCAAGCTTGTCACCCGAAGCACACATTAAACATTCTGCCCTAAGAGGGTAAAAGGAACCTAGGTAAGATATGAAGAGAAGATAAAATGAGGTCTGATATTTAGTGTGAAAGAAAGGTATTTAGATCTAGCATTTAACTTGTTAAATATTGCTAGAAATTATAGGATAAAGCTCTAGAGTGAATAATCTAAACCACTATTTATCTTATTTTTGTTTATGCTATTAATAATTATTCTTTTTCCTGTTATATGAATATAACAACTACAGAGAAACCTGAGAAAATAGGAAATTTCTGAATGCAGGATAATTGACATTAAGGAATTATTTATTGTTACCTTTTTTGGTGAAATAATGCACCACAATCAAGAGAGATATCTAATTCCTGTATTATTTAAAAAGAAAATATATTTGCTCTAAAATAACCAAGTTAGTACAATTTACGCCAGGTTGACCAGGTGCAGACAATTGCTTAAGGTGGTAAAATCAGGGTTCATTATACTATTCTACTTTCTCAGACACTAACATTGGGTGAAGGGTGTATAATACCTTCCTGTACTTTTCTTTTTTTTAACATCTTCTATGACTGTAGTTATTTCAAAATTAAAAAAAAAATTTCAAAAGATACATGTATAAGTAATCATACCTACTCTAAAAATTACAGGTAAACTTAAAGTAAGAGCTCAGAATTCCTTTATCTGGCCACCCCATCTCTTTCACAAGGAAACAGGCACAGCTAGCCTTCACTTGCCTGGCAACATCAATGTAATGAGCATGTGTTTCTTCTTCGAGTCCCATGGCTGCATTTCTTAAATAGGCTTGAAGAGATTCGACTAGAGTCTGCAGGGAAATGCCATCGGTTGTCTGCTCAATAAGATTGTCCAGTTCATGAAGCATACTTTCTAACGTGTATTCCCCTTTCATTAAACATCTAAGTGCTTCTGGAAATATGATTTGCCGGAAATTTGAATTCAATTCCTGTAAGTATGTGAAAAACATATTTAAATGTTTTCTGAATTTAGCTGAGTTACACAGTTGGAGACTTAGAGCCAACAAGAACAAACGTATACAACTATAACCAAGTTATGGCTCTAAACCTCACACTGAATATCTTGATTTTAAATGATTGCTTAAGCAGCATCCAAAGGGGAAAGTCAAATTGCTTTTCTGGACTAATGAGATGAGAAAGGCAATATTCAGTACCTAAAACAAACTTACAAAATTTAGCATAAATTAGAAGGGTTCACCTGAAGTGAGGTGTATACTCCATTGGCTAAGTGAACTGCCTCAGATGCTTCCATAGGGTTGGGGATGTCTAAGTCCTGAGGCACCAGGTGGCACTGCTTCAGTAACTGAACCAAGCAGGTGACGTTTCCACTCATACTGCACAGCTCCTCCAAAAACCAGGCTCCATCTCGAGAAGTCAGATCAACCAGCTGCTCTCCAGCACTCGAAGCTGCACCTTCCATCATCAAGTTACGCCTGAATGGATAAGTGTTTCTACAGTGAAACTTAATTAAATGCACAAATAAAGAAGATACTTCAAAATCTGAAAAGAAAGCAAGCAGCTGTAACACTGTGCAAGACTAAGGAAAGTAAAAGAGTATCTTAAGTTTGGGATTAAAAGTAAAACACATGTAATCTCAGTAAGCACCAATGTTTGTAAGACAATGAACTGATCCAATATGAGTTTAGCTAACATACCTTGTAAGGGTACAAAGGGCAGAAATAATAACACTTGCTAGACTCAAAGATCCTTCTTCTCCATTCTCATGAAGGAAAACTTTAATACAACGTTCAATTTCTTTCAATTGATCTTCACAAACAGGCACAGTGACTGCTTCTTGTTTCAAGCGTTCCACTTGTCTAATAAGTCTGCTGTTGATGTCTGCTGCATACCGCTGCAGGGTCATTTCAGTGGCAGTGATGAACTGACACACTGTTGGGGGTGGTTGGGGAGCATACTGCATTTCGTATCTATAAAAGTAAGACAGAGGTACTTGGTTATAACATAACCACCTCCCTGCTTACAAATAAAATTTACACTTCACAAAACCCAAAAGAATATTGCATTTGATCCTCAGACAAACCTTGAAGAGTAGGAATCATTATTTCCATCTTACAGATAAGAAAGTGTCAAGAGCTTAAGTAACTTCTTAAGATGACTAGTTGGTGAATGACAGAATCAATGTTCGAGGCTAGCTGTCTTTAAACCAATCCCACCACTCTTACACTAGGATATACTTCAGTAAATTAGGAAAAACATACTGTCTTAGGGGAAAACATGAGCTCAAATTCTCTTAAAAGCAAGACCAAAGTGATTCCATTCAAATTCCATCAACCATTTTTTTCACAAAAAGAAAATACAAATGTAATTAAAAATCTAATACAACGTTGCTTCCACTCTCAATAAGAAATAAAGACAATGAGCTGGGCGTGGTGGCTCACGCCTATAATCCTAGCACTTGGGGAAGCCAAGGCAGGAAGATTGCTTGAGGCCAGGAATTCAAGACCAGCCTGAGCAACATAGTGAGATCCTCGCCTCTACAAAAAATAGAAAAATTAGCTGGGCGTTGTAGCGTGCTCCCCATTAATCCTAGCCACCTGGGAGACTAAGGGAAGAGGATCGCTTGAGCCCAGGCATTTAAGGTTATAGTGAGCTATGATGACACCATTGCACTCCAGCTGGAGCAACACAGTGAGACCCTGAGAGAGAGAGGGAGGGAAGGGAGGGGAGGGGAAAGGAAAGGAAGTAAGTGCTGTCAACTTACTTCCTGTAGAGTTCTTGACAGCGCTCTACTGTGGTGTTACGGATGAGCTCTTCCATCCAGGTCTTCCATTGTTCAATTCGATGTTTCTGAAATATGGCCTTTGGATACTGCAGAGCTACAGTTGCATAGTGATGGAGCTGTTCCAGACAGCCACGGAGCACAGAGCGCCTCTGCTGCAGGAGAGCGCCAACCTCCCCCTCCAGCTGCTCACACTGGCTAATCAAGTGGGCCTGGCCAGCATTCTGTAGAAAGGCTGTCGCTGGCACATAACTTGGGGGCCCTTTTGGTAAAAGACAGTATTAATCACAGTTAAACCATTTCAACTCAGCAGCCATTTAAAGGGAGCACAAACCAGAACCCCACAACTACAAAACTCAGATGCTCACATAAGTATCTAAAATAAGTCAACCCATACCAAGGTCCATTTGTGTGCTTATCTCCTGAAGTAAGCTTGCAAGCTGTGTTGCTTCTAAATTGTTGAATGCAGCCTGATAGTGTGTTATCCACTGTTCAAATTCATTCAGCTTCACCTGGATTGCTTCCTGAACCGCTCTTTGCTGAGTCTGCAGTTGGGTGTGTTCAGAATACCTAATGGGGGAAATAAACAAACAAGCTCAAAAGATCATTTGCTGTTCTTTCTCCTCCGTACTTTTATAATCTGGATTTTGCGCATACTTAGACTGCCTGGTAAACTCCTTTTCAATCTGGAGGGCTCCGCTCCAATGTCCCTTACTTGCCTGGATTTTCCTGACTTTATAATTCCCTCAACTGTGCTCGCAACATTTAAAATAAAACTACAACATCTGCCAAGTTTTGAGTTCATTGAAGGTTAAAGACTGATGCTTGACAGATCTTTGTACTCTGAGAGCCTCATGCAATGCTTGAAACTTTGATATTCAACTACCCTTTACTGGGCACCTGCTCTGTATAAGGTTCATTCACTTAGATCATCCCATTTAATTTAATGTGTAAAAAACTCAGCAAAGTAGATGAAATAACTGCCACTGTACAAATGAATAAAGACTCAAATAACAACTGTAAATGAGAAAACCAAAACTGGATTTTCTGATTCCAAGTTCAGTGTTCTCAACACTACACCTATCTACCTATCTCCCATGATCAATCATTCAAACATTTAAGTTACATATAATAAAGCAGAAAATTTAAGTGAACTGTTATTTAGAAACACTTTAAAACTGTAATCACTGAGAGCTTTTATCATTTACGTGAGATGCTGCAATAATTCTAACCTACATTGACAATATTTACACAAATACAAAAATTCTCCTTAATGGAATATATTTAGAAATAAGAATTCATCACTGTTTTAAACCTGTGTTGCAGAGTGTGAGAAGGATGATCCACCCCTTCAGCTCCTTCTAGAAACTCTATTTCCTCCAGCAGTTTGCCCTGTAGTTTTTCCACATCTGTCAGTTGCTCCTGCAAGCTTAGGTATTCATCTAAGCTGCTGTCCAGCTTGGGAAGCACAACCAGCATCTCATCCCTATTCTTAAACCAGTTCACCTGTAAAAAGTTGTTATGATTAGGAAGATTATTACAGGGTCAACTCTGAGACACAACGCTGTCTGTCAAAAGAACATTTTGCACATTCTATTTAAATCTCCACGAAACCCTGAAGGGATGATGGCATCACCTCCACTGTACAAAGATAACTAATATGTCCAAATTAACACAGACATAAACTGACAGACTCAATTTCCATAACACCATGCAGTTACTAACAGGCCACCCAGAACAAAATTAGCATCACTGACTACCTACTGGGGATGGGAGGCTACCCAATTAAAGAACATTTACAATCATTAGTAAACACATTTCAACGTATTTTTTAAAATTATAATTTTTTTAAATCATTAACCCACCTCCTAGGAGTGTGGAATGTAACCGTGTTTTTGTGTGGGAGAACTGCCTTACAAAAAGATGGCATCAAATTACCATATATTTAAGTGCCACTTCAAAATTATACAATACAGTCTTGCCAAAGAAAAGTAGAGAAACAGTTTTACTCAACTTTTTTATGAACATGTTTACTCTATTAACAAAAAGATGACGATGACTTATTACATCATTGGGCTTCACCTTAATTTCAGCTACTCTGGAAGAAAAGAGGCTGCGGGTGATCTCTCGCTCCATCTCTCTCTTGCTCTGCTTGCTCTCGGCCTGCTGGCCGCCTCCGCCATAGACAGCGCCAGCAAAGCCAGCCTCACCTCCTGCCGTCCAGTCCACCAGAGGGTCGTACACAAAGGCCTCCAGCAGTGTCAGCAGAGTCTCTCTGCCACGCCGCATAATGTGTAAAACCTGTTTTCACAAGAGTTTCAAATAAGTTTTGCCACAAGTTTCCTCACAAATGTGTGACTTTTTTCATTTTACAGGCTTTGTTCATTTAACATGTATACTAAAAGCAGCGGAGGCAGAAGAGAAGACAGCATACCTGCTCACAGGAAAGCCTAAAAACACCTTCTACTCCAGTTACACCCAGTGCTGTTTCAATGTTTTGTGTCATTCGAAAAGGCACTTTCTCAGGAACTCTAAGGCTTTTACCTTGAAAAAACAAATAGTTATATTTTTGCTCTTTCACCAAAAAAAAATTTGACCCTCATACAAATGTAAAAGTCCACTTTTAATTTACCTTTTTCAAAGCAAACATTGTAATCTATGTGAACAACTTCTCCAGTTGTCATATCTATGAGAACGTTATCCAGATGTCTATCTCCAAGGCCAATTATGTATCCAACCATAGACATGACTGCAGTAGATCTTGCGTAAGACTAAAGAAAAAGGGGGTGAAGGGAGCAAGTTAAACACCATAGGGAAATTTCCCTCCAACATGAACTTGATGCTCTAAAATTCACACAACATCATAATCCTACTCCCTTATTTTAAAATAAATCAAGAAATAAAAAGCACTCTTCAGGGTGCTGCATGTGGTCACGCAGGCTCTGCATGGGGCAGCCATATACAATATCGAGGTTTGGTTGGCCCTATTTAATCATTATCAGAATGATGGATTTTTTAAAAAAATAAGCAACTTTTCTTTAGTCTCCTTAGTTTTTCGCTTTCTAAATTGTTTATTCTACTTTCCATTTCATCCACAACTGCTTCCCCATCCTGCCCTCAGACACAGTCAGGGCCACGCCACTATAACTCTAATATCAGATTCCAATAAAGATCTCAAACTATCACATCTGGAGGGACAGAAGAAGGAAGAGAAGGAAGACAAACAAGACAGACAAGAAGGAAGCAGGCAAAAGAAATAATACTCTTGATGTGTTGATTACAGTCCCAAACAAGGCGCATACCTGTGTAACTCTCCACCATTCATCAGGTGTTGTACAAGATGACCAAAGCTCCTTGGCAAGAAGGTTTGGGGGTGTGGCCTCCATTAACTCTTCTAACACTGCCTTCATTACATGCAGAGGCCAATCCCGACGGGACACATCCAGGCTAAGTCCAACTGCTTTCAAAGCAGGGCCAATTTTACTATAATAAAGTTCACTAGGACGGGGTACCATTCCAGGATTCTGAGGAGTTTGGTAGGAATCTTGGGCCTTCAAAAGAAAAGATCAAATTTATTTAAAAAGTACAAAGATTACTTTGAATGCAAAGTAGTGCCTTAAAAACTGATTTTTCAGTAGCATTTACTACCTGCCCAACTAAATTTCATTTACCAATAGCCAATTTTGCTGGACTATATCTTTCTTATAATCTACATCTTTCTTTTGATTGGGTACTAGTACTTCATTGAAAAATTGGTTTGGTGTTAAATTTTCTCGAGTGTAATTCATATCACAACATTCAAGTTACATTCTTCTTTGTAACATATAATTAAGCTTAAAATTTATAATTTATACTTCCTAATTCATTTATACACATGGATTCACTGATGATTTAATCATCAGTATGAAATTAGCAGTGGGAATTTGGAACACATTACATAAAAATTTAGATGGGCTGTCTCCAATTCCAATCTCTAACTTACCCTTCAACAATTGCCCTGCAGTCTCCCATGCCTACATTTAAAACTTGACTCCTCTTAAACTCTTGCTCTTTCCCATCCCACACCTATCCTAATTAGAAGCATTTTCTTTAGCTAGATGTGGGATCCTAAGGTTGAGACCGTATAAAATGTATCTTAATATCTGCAGAGCTTAGTACTGTTCCTGGCATATATTAAGCACCCAGATACTTGGCTAAAATGAATTCTAAATTAAACTCGTAGTCTAAATCAAAGTATAAAATCCACAGGTACAAAATAGGATGCCATTGTGGTTAACTCTAAACTTAAAGTTGCTTCTTATTTATGTATTTAAAAGAAACTGGGGGCCGGGCGTGGTGGCTCACGCCTGTAATCCTAGCACTCTGGGAGGCCAAGGCAGGCGGATTGTTTGAGCTCAGGAGTTTGAGACCAGCCTGAGCAAGAGCGAGACTCCATCTCTACTAAAAATAGAAAGAAATTATCTGAACAACTAAAAATATATAGAAAAAATTAGCCAGGCATGGTGGTGCATGCCTGTAGTCCCAGCTACTCGGGAGGCTGAGGCAGAAGGATTGCTTGAGCCCAGGAGTTTGATGTTGCTGTGAGCAGGGATGATGCCACGGCACTCTAGCCCGGGCAACACAGTGAGACTCTGTCTCAAAAAAAAAAAAAAAAACTGGGTTTCAAAGATATTATTTACAAATTTAAAAGATCATGGTAAGTCCAATAAAAGCATTAATATGTGAAATACCACATCCACACATCCCCTCCAATTTGTCTATAGTAACATTAACCCAATGCCATCATTTCTGCCTCTTAAAACTTTATTTTTATAAAATATTCCTGAAAAATGCCATCTTTAGGCCCTTAAGTCTTTCCTTATTTAACCCCTATAAACGTGCAAAATGCTCAAGTATAGTAAGCCTAGAAATATTTCACATAACAAAGAATAGGCTAATATAATCATTTGTTTTTAAACATTAAAATTTTATTTGAATTTTAATCAACCTTTTGTGCTTGTAAGGCAGCTTCCCGTTGTTGCCATCGCTTGTAAAGACCAAATAAGGGTGTGGCTCCATCCACCCACTGGATTAGTCCTGATCTGGTTCCTAGTGGTGTTACAGAATAGTGTCGAGCATGGAACCGGGGTGTTTCCTGGCGGTTAATTGTAGCAAACATGGTATTCACAATAGATAGGAACTGCATTATTCTCTCATCCAGATGTAAATCCTCTAGTCCTATGAAAACAAAATTAAAGTAGTTAGGGCAGGTGACCAAACAGTGTTGGGAGCACACCACTCCTTTGTGTCTTTTTCAACTAGCAATGGCAGCCAAGAACTGATAGCCCATGAGGAACACTGAGAGCATTAGAGAATTCTATTCAGTGACAGGATATTAGTAGTAGTTATTAGCATTATTAGCTGTGCCTCAGTTGTTCTGCTTATACAAGTTCATACACAAGGGGGGGTCGAGGGGTATGGACAATCTTTCTGTACAGTATCTAACCACTGCCATTCAAAAACACACAGGATACAGGACACTCCAGGCTAATAATGACATGCAAAAATTCACCTGAAATAATCTCTGTCTCACAGACACACACACACACACACACACACACACACACACACACACACACAGCATTAATAAGAAGTCTAATACTCTTCTTAAAAATGGAAAAAGTTTTCAATCCTACCTTTGAAAAGGTAAGGATAGCTCTTCCCATCTGATCCCAGAAAGAGAAGTTTCTTTGGCTTAGTTTTAGTTGGTAAAATTGTGATGGTTCCACCCACACTGTGTATTGTGACAGTGTCTCTGGCCGAGACTTCCCCAGGAAGAGCAATTTCAGTGTTAGTCATGGCAGCCAACCACGGACTGATTTCTTCAAGACGTAAGATATAACTTGCACGTTTCTGTGCTCTCTGTTGCAAACTCAGCATTATCTATATTCATAAGATGGGAAAAACAAGTTTATATTATGATTTAAAACACTTATTTTCTTTCATATTCAGTTTGGTAGAAAAGTAAATTTAAAAACACATACAAATACCAGTTATTCTAATTCCTCCATTTAATTCAATGTTAGGTATTTGGGCCATTCTGGGAAAAGCACTAGTGTGCTAATATGCTCTAGATCAGCAGTCCCCAACCTTTTCGGCACCAGGGATTGTTTTCATGGAAGGCAATTTTTCCATGGGGGGTGGGGATCTTAATAAAGTAGAAGTCATCTAGAGCTACGGTCCCCAACTCCTGGGCTATGGCCTGATATGGGTCCATGGCCTAATAGGAAAACAGGGTCGGGCACCACCACCTGAGCTATGCCTTACCCCCACCTCCTCTCCCCCTACCCTCACCTCCTCTCCCCCTACCCTCACCTCCTCAGCCCCTTACCCCTGCCTCCTCCCCCGTCAAGTGATTCTCCCACCTCAACCTCCTGAGTAGCTAGAATTACAGGCACACACCACTGAGCCTGGTAAATTTATCTATCTTTTATGAGGAGAATACAGTAGGTAACCAACATTTAGCTCAAGGCCAGTACCACTCCCCTGGCAAATTTCTTACAGTATATTGTTTACTGCTGTGAACCCTCCATATATAAAAGAGTAGGTATCTTTGCCGCTCCCTCTACCCACCGGTTTCCAAATTCTCAAATGAAACACTTTTCTCTGTAGTTCTTATAAGTAATTGGCTGCAGGCTGCCTTCCATAGGCTTATAAAATTTTCACTTATGTTCCAAGTAAGGTGAGCCCACTTATTTAAATTTTGTCTCTTATAGGAAATTTTCCACTTTGGTAGCATTCTTGAGATTGTTCTGTACCTCTTTAAATGGAAGCCAGCTGCTTCCAGGCTTTGCAGGGTTTGACGGGGTCTTCAGTTTTTCTAGAGCGTTTTCAATGGCATCACCATAGTTATCCTGAAACCATTTCTCATGAGGTGTTTCTGCAGGGGCCGCGGTGATGCTCCTGACATGCTCCAAAGCAAATACGATGGGCTTCATCAGAGCCGTGTGCTTCTCCCTCATGATAGCAACTTTCTCTTCTCTGACCAGGAAGACAATTTTATTCAAAAACTCATCATACATGAAAGTTTTACACAAACATGGAATAGTTCAAATGTATCAAATGTAAGTTAACAGTATCAAAGAATAAGTCTAAAACTTAAGCAATAGAGTACTAGCAAACTAAGATAGAATTGTTTTCTCAAAAATCCAGCACACAAAAGAGGCAGCTTCTCTTTTCAAAAAATGCACAGAGGCTGGGCGCGGTGGCTCACGCCTGTAATCCTAGCTCTCTGGGAGGCGGGCAGATTGTTTGAGCTCAGGAGTTCGAGACCAGCCTGAGCAAGAGCGAGACTCCGCCTCTACTAAAATTAGAAAGAAATTAATCAGACAACTAAAAATATATAGAAAAAATTAGCCAGGCATGGTGGCGCATGCCTG